CTTCATAATCTTCAACTGTCACCGTCTACCTCACCTTATCAATATCAACAGCGACAATATTCCTTACTGCATTCTTTACATACTCAACATCATTGGAAGCGTCGATGTCTAGTGATCATTCTATGCTCTGTACTGTGGATTCTATTAGCGATTGGTTTAATTGTCATTTTTATCTGGGGGCCTATTATCAATTGTAAGTATTGTAATTATTTCACCTGTCTACCGTTGACTTCGAATATCTGTGATAATCTACAAGTGAATGTGAATCAACGCTCTGATTGTATCCTACCGAATTGGATTTAGTGAGAAAAAATTCAGTTGTTGTTCTTTTTTCAAACACATCAAAACATTCTAACAATCAACTTATTATGACTATAAAAACACTCTTCGTATTGCCCATCTAATTGTTATGGATTAATAACACTCGTACTATTATTTCTGAATGTCCATTATCTCATATTGAATTTTATTCCAATATCGAATCGATTCCACACATGTATATAAGTGAAGGAAAGAAGTTGTGTGAGTAGTGTCTTGATATAATTATGAGTGGCAATAGTTTGTGCTCGAAACGTCATCAGTTAATATAACTGTACAATACTGTGTGATTTATCAAAATAAAATCTTAACCATTATGGAGTTATGTCCTATTCAGTGTTGACGAGATGTTCAATTATGCCGTTTCTGATTTAACTAGTGCCTCCTCTTTGCAACCATTTTAGGTAATGTTCTCCGACACATTTTGATAGGACCCGAATAGAATGACACAGGTACCTGTCTCCACAGGAGCAGGTGAACTGATATACGCACATTGAAGTGGTTGAATTAGAGAGTTTATCCTTCATATTGTTTAGAAGCAGTGGGTAGCTAGTGAATATCACTCTTATAGTTGTTGCATTAAAGGTCTTCTTCGGGGAACTAAGCCTGTTGTAATCTATATTAGCACCTTTGAACTTTAATATCTAGTTGGAAACCGTTATTACCTTTATTTTCCTACGTTATCATGTGGAATTAAATATTAATTATATATATGTACACTGATGTATATAAAAGTAAATGTACACTTGCTTTTGAGGATGAAATCGCCAGATATCTGTTTGTTCAACTTCTTGTTATTTTCCCTCTAATGTCCCAATGTGCATAACTTTTAGTTGATTTTAACGCTATTTTATTGCAAATATTCGGTACACTGAATATATCGTGCGCCAAATGATTTATAGATAGTTGTTTCCAATATTTAAGAGATATTTTTATACTACTGCTGTTTTAAAAGTAGTTACAAAATCCACCATAAAATTATTTTATTTTATCGCAATAATTATAACAAGAATGAGTTCAGCAAACAGTAGTTTTCAATATATTCTTCTTCCTCAGGATGTTCCATTATAAATCCATTGGTGTTAGTCAGTGTCCGGGTAAAGGTATATTAAGATACATATATATATATATATATATATATTTACGCATCTGGCTTTGATTCTGTACGTAAGCCTGTTTTGTTAAACAGGCTTGCTGTGACAGAAGCTGGGTGCTGGACTAGTAAATGATTTCCTTCTTACATTTCTGATGTGAAGCACTACACTGTTTACAATGGGATGTTGTTCACTGCTTCACTTACTCTAGCTCATGTTCCTCAAGGAGCTGTGCTTTCTCCTTTTCTGTTTCCTTTCTTCTTACATAGCTTGCCCTATTATAACGAAGCCAATTTGGTTAAGTGTATCGATGCCGGCAATTACTTATCAGTGAGACTGTTCGAAAATGAATAACTGCTTCCTAGAAATTAGTCAGTCGGTGGTCGTATTCAAATGATCCTGAGTTAAATCCGCCCTCCAAATATCAGGTGGTTAATTTCACTTTTAGACAAACAAGCGCAACCTATATGACCTGGTTAGTTCGCATGGTTCCACTATCATAGATGGCACAGAAATTGAAACTAAATCGAATGTTAAACACCTTGAACTGTGTATTCTCTCTGATCTTTCTTGGTTTTCCGAAATCATGATAGTTTCGAGAAAGATATTTTGTTAACGTTTTATGTGAGGAAATTAAGACGATCTGGTATCAGCCTCAGTCTCTACTTTCTCAGTTTGTTAATTATTGTATTATGCCCCAACTTAGTCTTTCCTGGGCTGCTGCTGCTTCTGCTGGATTCAACATAGAACTTGCCACCGAAGTGCACCAGTTCGAGTTGCCACGTTCCAAATACCACACAAAGGTAGACAGTAAAATGAGAGAAGAGAATCAATAGAATTTAGATAAGCATAAGAGTGAAATAGAATGAATGAGTAATGGTAGAAAGGAATATGAAAGATTACAGAGACTGAATACATCTGCGTAAGCCATTGACAACGATTTTGAGCCATGTCACCTATTGTCTGCAGCCATTGATTCTTAGAGTCTCGAGAGCCTCAACCCGGAAGTCTGCATCTCCCTCCCTACCTGACTCAGTTTAACTGTCAGGGATTTCATGGATTGATGAGGCCATTTTTTTGTTTGGCCACCACTTACTCTTTTCCAACCTGCGCCTATATCGGCTAGTAATGCCCGTCCGTCGGGGGAGGCGATGGTTGGGCATGTGCAGCACGTGACCTATCCATCTCAATCTATGCCTCTTCGATTGATTTTCCCTCTTTGCCCAACACTCTACGCCTAACGTCAACATTACTTACCTCATTATACCACCTAATGCGAGAAAGAGATCGTAAACATCTGTGGTCAAAAACAGACAATCTCTTCATGTCTTCCGCTCTCAATGGCCACGTCTCACCGCCATAGAGAAGGACGGAGCGAACTGCTGAGCAGTACACACGTCCCTTGGTTGACAGCCGAATGTCACACCTACGCCAGAGATGGTGTAAGTTAGCGAAAGCAGCCCGAGCTTTCTGAATCCGTGCTGTGATTTCGTCACCAATCAATCAATCCGTTGGTGCTGATACAACTTCCCAAATAGGTGAAGTGGTCAACATGTTCTATCACTTCACTCCCTATCACTAAGCTTGGAGTTGACGTAGTCCAGTCCTGTAGCAGCATCTTGCATTTCACAGGGGCGAATCGCATGCCAAACATACGAAGATCGCTGCTCAAGGTGTTCAGAAGACTCTGCATTTTGTCAGCATCCTCCCCTAACAGGACTATGTCATCTGCATATTCTAAGTCCATAAGACTATTCCCTGGTAACAAGTCGATTCCTAAGTCGTTAAGTTCAGTTAAGGATACTTCCATTAGCATATCTATGATGAAGTTAAACAGAAAAGGGGAAAGTGGACACCCTTGACGGACACCACTGGTTGTTATCAATTCAGATGACAATTCCCCATAAGCCCTTACACAGCTACGTGAGTTTGAGTAGAGTGCCTTGATTAGTGCAATGTACTTTCTTGGCACTCCCTTCATAGTCAAACATTGCCAATGAGTGAGGATTAGAGACGTTTCGCGTGCACTGCGGATGGTGAGGGCGATTGTTACTTCCCGGCTGCCCACACCGTGGAAGTTGGTTGCGTGACCGCAGAGCCCAAGGGACAACTGCTTGAGGCCGGTCACACACGGCCTGTTTTTGTTTTTCATTTGGTGTGTCTCAGTAGCATATTTATCACTTGTGCCCTGTGACATGGCAGCAGGAAGCGCGGTCGTTGTTAATCCGGGCCCCGACCGATCCGGCGTGATATTTTGTGATTTTGTTCGAGTCATGACATTGGATTGGGTAGCTGCTTTTTGTCTGACCGCTATCCAAACAACCTTTCTGGTATGGTAGGACCTACAGGAACATAAGTTCCAGCCAGTATAGCTTGTTGGGTCATTGCGGTGTTCAAGCCCGACCACCACGTCAAGGTAGCAGCTTTCGGTCGGGATCAGTTACGTTTCACGTATGGTGATTTCAAATTAAACCTTGAAAATTATTCTAGTGGTCACTACAGCCTGAGGTTACCTTGGAAGTCATGACTAGCGGGATCCACCAAGTTGAATATGAAGACAGTAGTCGCCCGCAGGTCAATCTCAAAACATCTGATAGATTCCGGACATCAAGCTACACCGCAAACAAACTTCAAAGTCGTCTACAGAATACGAAGCAGTCTTCCTAAAGGTGTACGAATCAGACTTCTTCAAACTGAAGAAGCAATGGCAATTCACTTGCTAAGTCCTGAACTCTGCATACAGAAGAAGTTCGTTCAATCACTACACTTGCAATGGACGTAATCTATCTTGATATCCGACGGGTGAATTCTATTTCTCTGTCTCTTCATTCGTATTATTTTGTCTTTTCAATTGTAATATTTTACACTTTCAACTTTCTTGTTCTCTACCCCCACCCGATTTAACTTCTACACCTCATTACAACTGTTACTGACTTGACCAACGCTCAATTTTTAGTCATTTATGTTACGTCATCCAACTTACTAACTCAAGCTTACTTTAGTTGTTGTCTAATTAACCTTGTTTCTATATTAGATCATTCTTGTATTACCTAATTAATTATCTGAACTTGACAAACCTCATGTACTCACACACACAAAAATAGTTATATATAAATGAGATTGTACAGCTATGTGAATGAATTCACCGCCGAAAAGTCTCTTCGCTGAACGTCTTCTCTTTTTCATACTACTCATTGGGGGATTTTTAAGCTACTTAAACGTTCCAAAGACAGATAATTACCTATAACATTGGTTAGTGGTCGCGAGATAGCAGATGTTAGAAAATGATGGGAGATTGAATTTCATTCGCTCAGCGACTGAATGTTTGTCATACGAAATCACCTTGTTACCTGAAGTTCCTGAATTCCATCTGTAGTGCCAATGAAGAGTCCCAAGTCCATTACTCTCTACTGGTTTTCATTTGATTCCCTAACTGTGAAGTCAATTTGTAATCAATCAAACTTGAAATCGATCGAACCCCTGAAAAACCAACTCACGTTTCAATCTTCGTCTATGCACATGAGCAAACTCTACTCAAGAACAATTGATATAGCCAGTTAGCTGTTAAGCCATCAAAACTTATCACTGTTCACATGATTTATTATTGATTAGAAGGAAAACAAAACCGATCAATATCTATCAGCTGATTGACAAGTAAGTGTTTGTATGAATCATAAAACATAATTGATAATTATAATAAATTACCTTGATAAAAATAACAAAGGAGAAGCAAGTTCGGAATGCACTGTATAAAACAATTAAATAACGAAAATAGATTTTAGAAAAATAGAATTTCCAGGAAGGAAGGCAAGAAATCAATAAATGATCGATATCCAAAAACAAAAATGGTTATGCATACACCTGAATAATCTCTATCAATGACCAGAATGGTGTAAGCAAACGATGGAAATAACTTCGAGGACAAGCTTCTATGCTTCGAATTAACTTGTAAAATGATTGCCAAAGTTGTTTATCATGGATACACATTGTACCACCACCGCGTTCTTTTTGATGTGGCTGTGAAAATAACAATAAAATAGGAAAAATATGGCGATTGTGTCATAATACCATAATGGTGTACAAGAACAATGTGTTACGTAATATATAAGAATAGAACTTGTGTACTGTGGCGGTAGAGTATAATTCCATTATGGGTAAAATTTGTTTTTGATAAAGTCTCACAGTGATGTTATACAGTAATGTTTACTGATGACCACGTTTCGAGCACAATTTATTATTGCTGCTCATAATCATATCAAGGCACTACTCACACAACTTTCTAACTTCGTTTATATAATTCCATCCTTATTTTTCATCGCTTGATTTGATTGGTAGTGATATTTTCTATATTTCTGGTATGAGCGATGAGCCATTTCTATTGCACTCGATGAACAAGGATTCAGTAATCAATCTCTCTCTCCACCTACCTATGTTACTCTTTAGAATTTTAACCCTCTCCCACCCTATTGTGTGGTTGTCTGTTAATGCATGCAGTGCTATTGCTGAGCTTTTTTCTGAATTACTTATCTTCGTGGGATCAATCCTTCTAACCTTAGCTAAATTCTTATGTTATGATAATCTCACGACCCCCGACCTACTAGTTTGACCTCACAGCCATTGCGAGGTATTTTTTAAATTGTATTATTTTGTCTAATTGGGTCAACAGGGTCCTTTAACCTACGGAGCTTGTCCTACGTCAGTGAGTTTGTAGGTTTGAATGTCACCTTAATTCCTGCTTTATTAAGTAAGAATCCTGCGTAGGGTCTCAGATGTCCTCTCCTTATATGGTGAAACTACTAAAGATGCCTTATATTCTCTCTTATTTATGCTATCATTACTAGTTTCACAATTATTTTTACTTTGCTTTTGGCCTTTTCTGATCTTCCTGATGAATTTGATAGGATAGTTAGTTATTTAACACCAATGCTCCTTCTATCGGTTTTATTTCATCATTTAGGTCTTTTTTGTGCTACTTAGAGCTACTGCTCGGTTTGTTAGACACTTCACTAGGCCTGCCTTAACAGTTAACGGATGACATGAATTGGAGTCTAAATATCTATTAGAATGCGTTGGTTTTTTCTATAAACGCTAGTGTGCAGTTTACCTTCTTCTATTCGTTTTATTTTACAATCTAACATCAGAGCTAATTCTCCTTGTTCATTTTCCGATTCAAATATGAATTTTATTCCCTTTAAAACTTATTTTTCTCTACAATTTAGGTCGTTTACTTTATTTCTCACAGATGGCTTTTTATCAGAAATCAGCCAGTGGTTCAAGGAAAACGGTCTTACCTTAAATCCCTCTAAATGTCACCTTTAGGCATAAATCTGACCTAAAGAAACTGGTTAGCACCCAAGAGGTGTGCAACATAGACGGCACTGAAATAGAGACCAAGTCGGAAATTAGATATCTTGGTGTCATTCTATCTGCTGATCTCTCCTGGTCGTCTCATATCTTGATGATTTCTAAGAAAATATTCCGTCTTACCTTCTACATCAAGAAGTTAAAACATTCTGGTATAACCCAACCCTTACTCCTACAATTCGTTAACTCTCGCATTCTGCCTATTATTCTCTATTGTTCCCCCTTAGTTTTTCCCGGGCTACTGAAGAAAGACTATGCCTTATAACACAGGATGTTAAAGGTTGTCAGTAGGGTAAGCAACGTGCCACTTAACCAGCTTGTTAATATTCTGGTTGACAGGCACATGGACTCCTGTGAGAAATGGGCCAAATCCATTTTATCTAACTCACGCCACCCTCTTCACTCACAACTCTCCCCTTGAATCTCATCAGGTAAAACCAGAAGCCAATATAGAAAACTACATGCTCGCACCAGCAAGTACAAAAACTCAACCATACCCTACTTAGCTTGTGTTCTGTGCGATTAAGAAAGCATTAGGCGTGACACCTATAATTCATTAAATAGTCAGTAGAACAACTGGATCTCGTCTTTCCAACTCATATCATTTATAGGTACAACATTTTATTTGTTTCTTTTCCTTTTCTCTCTCTCTTTTTTTCCGTTATGTGCTGCTTTGTTTCTTTCTCTCGCTTACGCCAGTAAATATGATAGCACCTACTTTTCTAACACCTTCAAACACTGTTCAGCTTTTCCTTTGCTACCGACATGCCAATGTGTTGTTGTAATAATGAACTAAGATTACCCTTAAACTATGTAGAATTCTATTTATTGATAATGTACTAACTGGATGCAATACTGTAGTAAAAATGCTGAGAATTCCATTCTGTATTACAAGTACTGTTTTGGAATAAAGCAAATTATTATTATTATTAATACAGCCTATTCAATTTAGGCAATGTAATCTTTAAAACTGTCCAAATTACCACTGTCGTCTACTTGATTATATTCTTTTGAACACCAAGGTCTGGCTTAAATTCACGAATAGCATAGGCCTATGTTGCGTTTTACACAAGGAAAGGACGACATCTTCGCAAGAATTCATTGTCAAGGTTAGGTGAATGAGAGAAGTGTTCGATCAAGTGTTCTAGAATGCAACATACTCTCGTATCCGTGTGGGAAGCATCCTCTAGCTAACGCCGATGTACCTCCCTCTCAACACAAATTCCACCGAACTGATAAATACACACACATGGACGTCACCAGATGAGAGACCTTATCTTTTACACAAACGGAAAACAGCTTTCAACTTTCAATAATTACCTGACGGTTAATATCACCTAAACAAATCCAATTAGCACTGTCATCAATTCCGTCTGCCTTCTCCTCCGTCGTCTTCTTCTTTCTGGATGGAACAGTAACAGCCCATTTAGCATGATCATGGGAATTAGTTATTTCTGTTTGAGAAGCATCAATATATATTGATTTTATATTCGTCACCTATAACCAAACAAAAAATTAAAGGAAAAATATATTCTTAAGATAAGTAAACGTTTATGTAGGTGGATGGAGAATAAAATAATTTCGAAAAAAGTAAGCATCTTCAACTGCAATTTGACGCGTACTTCTTCAGTGTTTCATATAATTGCCGTCTACAAAAGCGGTCTGCTAATAGACTGACATGTTCTACTGACAAGAATTATGAGTAGTATATAGATACAGACATAAATATTCATATCATTTGCAAGAATATAGAATAGCGACGAGAAGAAACGAGGGATTCTCGTCAAGAAAAAAAACAGAGATAACATAAAAGGAAGAGAAAGAAGTACACACCATATGGGAGACAAAAGTAGCACAATACCGAGGATATGTGCAAACTGTGATTCTAATCTGCAGTAGATGTGCTTTGCCTATATTCATTTATCGTTTGAGCAGAGAAAGAACAAACATTACTGCAGAATAACATGAATCCATTTCACTTCGTTGACTCTCATCAGCTGCGTACAACGAGTAATGGAAGTTTTACTCACCATATTATATCATCATCTTTCTATCTGACCTCTACCACACCAAAATTTTCATCTCTTATCTAACTACGTAATTGTTGCTAATCTTTTGTTACCACGCTAACAACAAACTTGTCAATTATTTTTCTAGAAACATTTCAGCTACCTTGTCGTCCTGACGTCTTACCTCACCATGATACTCTTAGAATATGCTTGTTGATGACAAAAGTATGTCAAATTTTACGCTGACTTTTACTTATTAATGATTATAGGTTGTACGCAGATGATGAGGAGAACCAACGAAGCAAAATGAATGCATGTTATTCTGTGCCAATGTTTGTTCTTTCTTTGCTCAAATTTATTAGAGGAAATTCTTGTATGAAATAATTCCGAAATAAAATGTGCTCGTATTATCTTGTTCAGCAGTCCGCTCCGTCCTCCTTTATAGCTGTGAGACCTGGCCATTGAAAGTGGGAGACATGAAAAGCCCGGCTGGGAATCTTTGATTTTAGGTGACTGCGTTCTGTCTACCATGTCACGTGGTGGTATAATAGGGTGAGCAATATTGAGGTTAGGCGTCGGTCGAGTGCTAGGTAACGAGGAAGAGGAAATCTATCGACGAGGTTGTGGACCTACATCGACTGAAATGGTTAGGACATTTGTTACGTATGCATTCCTAGTCACCGCTTTCCTCGACGGGCAATGTTAACTGACTGACATAGGATCAGGTTGGAAAGCGCCAGTGGTGGTCAAACCAAAATATGGCTTCATCAGTCAATCAAATCACACAACAACTAGTTTCAGCCACGTAGGAAGGTGTAGACTTCCTGACTGACTGGTTGGGGTCCTCGGGACGGTAAAAACCACTGAAGACTAGAGACAATTGGTGATATGACTCAAAGTGATCTTTCTCAATGGCTGGTGCTGATGCATCCACTCCTTGTGACTTACAATATCCAATAAAACTATATTGCTCCTCCATATTACTATTATTTTTGCTTCATATCTCTTTTTACTGTTTCTGTTTTGCTTTTCTTTTTACTTTCTTCTCTTGCTTTGTGTGGTACATGGGAGTGGAGTGTGGCGACTCGAACTTCTGCACATCGGTGCAAAGTAGTTCTATGTTGAAACCAGTCAGTCAGCGAATATGTTCGTTCTTTCTTTATTCAGACTAATAATAAAGGGAATCGGCTGTTGGATAATACTTTTGTGTTGTGCTGTTACATTTACTGTTTTTAAGTGAAAAGCTGCCACTCAACTTAACGATCAATAAAGGAGTGTGTAAGGTACTCGTGGCGGTGCTGTTAATAATATGTTACACTATACGACAGCCTTCCTAAATGCCATGTGCCTAGTCACCCACTTAATTTGTACTCAACCTAACCTGCTGGCACCGATAGTAAAAAACAAAAAATAAAAAGATACAGTGAATTACAAATGTGTTTCAATGAGCAATATATTTAAACAGAATAAAATGTTAATGTTATGTGGGGAAAAGATTTCAGCATCTTATCTGGTTTAGTATGGCTGAACTAAGGGCTCAGCGGTTAGGACGCTCGCCGACCATGCACATAGTCTGGGGTTCGATCTCCGGCCATCGTGACGCACTCCTTTACCTCACTAAGCCAGAAATAATGCTGGTGAAGAGGAAAGGTTGGGCATGAGGTTAGCAACCCTATCCTGTAAAATTAAAAACTGCTGCAGAAACTTTAAGCACCTAGATTGAAGCCCTATGTTCCACTGGGGAACGTGAAGGAATAAAAAGGGACTCTGAGAATGTGTGTGTTGACTAGAACAAAGGAGAAGAACGAAATGGGATCCGAACCTGGTCAGATGCTTACAATTTAAAACAGAAATTAAAAACACCTAAAGCATCCACAGGTGGTTTAGATGTTAATTTATTATTATTATTATTGTTTCTTTTAGTTCCTAGAGGAACATAGGGCTTTAGCCGCACGTGTCTATTGCGTTCGGTTCTACGCCAACGTTTTCATCTGGTTCCACGTATACCCACATGCTTTCATCTCCTCTTCACATGACCTCCTCCAAGTCACCCTTGGACGACCAACTCACCACTTTCCATTCGGGTTCCACTCGAGTGATGTCACTTGATGGTTTGTTTTTTCAGAGCATGGCCACCAATCTACCACCATCTCTTCCTGCATATTTGCTGCACAGTCGGTTTCTGCTGGGTTGGGTCGCTCCCGGAGATCCCTGTTGCTGATTTTTCCCGGTCATCTGATCTTGAGTAGTATTGAGCGAAGACAGTTGTTGATGAAAGTCTTTAGTTTGTTCGAAGAGCCCTTCGTGATGCGGCGGCAAGTCTCTGATCCGTTTAGTAGCGCTGACTGACTTCACATTGGAGTTGAAAATCCGGATCTTATTTTTCATGCTGTTGATCTCCTCCACACAGACGTGAGAGGAAATGAAAGCTTGCTTTGCTTTCCCGATTCTCACCTTGATATCCTCGTCAGTTCCGCCTGTAATTGAAAGGATGCTTCCCAGGTAGATAGGTAAGTAAAGGAGGTTGCTTCTCTCACATTTGTCCTATTTATGCTGATTGTTGTCTGTTGTAGTTGCTGTTGGCCAGGAATCTTTAGCCATCACATATTAAGTTACTTCAGTTTCATCTATTTATTTTAGCCTTAGGATTTAAAATCGGTGCCTTGGAAGGTGTACTACAAGCATAAGGAATTGAAACGAAACATATAAATGGTGAGTAGCTATGACTCAGACAGTGGAGAGTGAGAAGACAGGAATACTCTAGAGTCTAATTTGATTATTATTATTATCATTATTATTCCCTTGGGTTCCAAGTGGATGATACATACGGCTTCAACAACACATCTCCACTTCATCCCGTTCCCTGCAGTGCTCTTAGGCTGGTTCCATGATTGACCGTAATGTCTCATCTCCTCCCCCCAAACGATCACCTCCATGTCACTCTCGGACCAACGCCAAACTCATCGTTTCGCATTCAAGTTCCACTCGAGCAATAACTTGGTTAACGCGCGATGTCATTCGACGGACTCCTCAATGTATGTCAGATGAATGCATCTCTGTTTTCTCCTACATATTTGTTGAGCGATCGGCTGTTGGTGAGTTCGTCACCAGCTAGAGTTTCTTATTGCTAATTCTCCCTGGTCATCAACATGGACCCAGCAAAGGTGGAAGCTGTTGATAAAAGTCTGTAACTTGTTGGAAATCCTCTTCGTGACACTCACGCCAAATTTCTGACGCGTATAGAAGAACTGACCAACTTGACATTGATGTTGAAAATCCGAATCTTGTTCTTTATTCTGACTGAGTGCAGAAGATTTCCGAACCGATTTTAGAGTGATGAAGGTGTATCTTGCCATTTTGATTCTGCCTGGCCTTGACATTTTCATTCGTTTCTCTGGCCTATGGTTGAAACTATGCTTCCTGGCCAGATAAGTGAAGAAAGTAACCTCTGTCAAATCTCTCCGGTTGGTGGTGATTGGTACTGGTTGTTGTTCCTGTCGCTGTTGGTTGGTTATCTTCATCACCTGAGTCTTCTCTATATTCGCCTGGAGTCCTATCTTCGCTGCCTACCTGCTTCTTCAACCAGTTCTAGTCAGTTTACGCCTTTAAGTCTTCGAGTTTGTGTGATATTGAAGTCTAATTTGAAGTCAATTGAAATTCTAATAAATTAGCAATTGAAGGTATTTTATGTAAATAAACAATGCCATCAGTTGAGATAAACAATTGTGAACACAGACAAGCGCATTTATGAATATACACATACACATAAAATTATAAACCTAACCAATTTATTGACAGCAACATGAAAGATAAGCAGTCTAAACTGGTCACCGACTCAGTTCCAAAGAAAACCTTATTCATGAACTTGGAATTCAAAGGTGATCAAGCTTCAGATATGCTCGAAAATCGTCTCTCTAAATCAGTCAGTAAGACGTTCTATGCAGCAAAATTACATATGAAGTTCACTAGCTGCAAGTTGTTCTCTACCTCTATAAAAGATAAGCTACCCCGTCTGGCCGCCTCCATGTGCATCTATCAGTTCACCTGCTCCTGTGGAGCAAGGTACATTGGCCGTAGTCAGAGGACGCTTTCCACACGGATACGAGAACATATTCAAGCAGCATGGTTTATCAAGGGAGAAAAGAAGTGTGTGCGAAGCTCTATTCTGTAACACCTGATCGACTTCTGTCACTCTGTCAACCCTGATCATGATTTCAAGATCATATATAGAATCCATGCTAACTTCCCGCGTTTTATTCGTTACAGACTTCTAAAGGCAGCTGAGGCCTTGACAATTCATCACTTTAAGCCAGACCTTTGTGTACAAAAGAAGTATGTACAATCCCTACTTCTGCCTTGGCCGTAGAGGGATAGACATTCATTTATTTTGTTTATTTAGTTATTCTATGTACTCTTCCCTTATTACTATGATTATTATTATTATTATCATTATTACTATTCTCACTCTGAATCTTTTCCACTTGAGCC